CAACGTAATAAGATCAAAAATGAATACAAAATAATTGGCCAATAATATATCCTCGCCGCAAAATAAGAAATTACCAAAGCACTAAAATCATACTACTGTCTTTTAATAGCATTGGTAAAGTTTGTCAAAGGGATAAAGTCAAATATACAAGCATTTTTTTAATTTATCAAGATTGGTAACACATTAGCTGCATTCTTAATGATGTGGCGCCGTAAATGTTTCATAGGTAACGCGATCCATTACGTAAGTGTCAGATTACTTGATTTAACTCCCGTCTGGTCTATGTTCAATAAATTTCGGTAAGTCTTGAGGCATAAAAGAAACTGTAGAAACAATACAATAGGGTATTTTCACTTTGTTGAGCATGAATTGTTTGAACATGATGAGATTTGGAATCTGCCAATCAAAATAATACTATAAAGACCACTGGGAGACTACATAACAAAGAGGGGCCATGAGTGCTAAAAGCCTCCAGAAGTGGCCACGCATCCAAAAAATGATGGGAACTACTGACCTAGAAATTAAAATTATATTGATAATTCATTTATTCCTTTCGATATATAAAGTTATAAAAACCAACACTAAATTCCTATTTGAAAATTCTCCAACCAACAATGTCTATAATCAAATAAAATAAGGTTAAATTAAAGATATTTGAAGTTCGTTTGAAGAGAAGTTCGTGATATCTGATATATTTAATTCAGTTCTTTAATTTTTGGATTCTGACCGCTTTGAGTTGCATGAGGGTTTTCCGTACCAAGAAATGACATGAGTTGCGTACGAGCATCTTTATCTTTAAATGGGTTAATATTCCTCTCGCTACTGCAAAAAATATTTAAATAAACAATAAAGTTGATATAAATTGAAAATAAATTGAGCCAAAATTCATGTATTTATGTATTCATGCAAATACAAAATTTCATCTATGTGCATTTCGTAAGTCATCATGGGAAATTTTTAATTTTGACTAGATATCATTTGAATCAGGTACTGTTGATTGTTAAACAAGTATTCGAATCTTCTTTGTCCTCAAACCATGAATATTTTTTTGAATAATTGTGATTCCTACACCAGTCGTCGCTTAAAAAATTACAATCACCGATCAAAAATAATTTTGGGGAACAAATCATAATATCAATTCAACAAAAATACCAAAACTATAACTGTTTCATAAATTTATTGACTACATTTGACAGTATCAAAAACAAAACCATATCGTATAGTAGTAAAAACATACCAAGTTATAATTAGTTTAATGAGCGCATCTGTTCGGGCGTCTAACATTTCTATTTGACGGCGATGTTCTGAATTGCGTCGTCGTTCCGCTCTTTGCGAACACTCTATATCGTACTTTTTGTCTTCCTCTTTTATTTTTTGACGAATCTCTTCTTCTCGGATACTTCTACTTTCCTTCATTGCATCCTCGTACATATTTGCATATTTCTCCATCCTTTGCTTATATTCCTCGCTTTTGTAATCTACAAACATGAAACATGATACTTTTTATTCCTTTATACCAACCTTCATAACAACTTCATCTCGTAAGCAATTTTATAAAAAAAAAAAAATTTTAATGCAACACGCTGGCTTAGGATGATATGAAATTTTTTTTTTAAATATTTCATAAGATTCTCACCTGAAGATGCATTTCCCATTTTGAATAGTCTCTTTTTACTTATTTAGAATGCTATTTTTCATATATCAACATATACAACAAAATCAATTAATTAATTAAAACCTTTTCATAAAAATAATGAATGGATGTATTCTATATCTTGTAGAATTTTGGGGAAAATTTAATCCGTAAATATTTATTTTATTTTTAACATATTTTGATCCAAAAATTGATTGACGTAAAATTGTTTGTGGAATTTAATATACATAAAGTGAGCAATGACTGAAGTTAAATACTGTCAATATCAAACAGTATTTCCCATTAGATATTTTTGCGACGATATCTTATGACAATGAATGCAGATAATGAACTTCGAGTATAGTTTTACAATTCATTATCTTCTTTAAACATAAATCATGTAAAAACTTATATAGATCATAGCAAGACAAGTTTTAGATTTGCCCACTGATCCACCAAGGGTGTGGCACAAGTATTATTTATTGGTTTTCCAATCAAGTGTTGTTGCATGGGATTTAGGTGTTTAAAATATTTGAACTAACTGACATTTTCTCGCTATTTAGAAAATATATTTTGCAAATTTTCGAAAAACTCCACTCAGGCAAATGTTTGGTTCTTTCCTGAATAAAGTATAGTTAGGCTCTACATGATATATATATATTGCGGATCCTATACATTTGTACAAATTCAATGAAAACTTAAAACCGCGAATATCCCTCCCACCATCGTTCAACGTAATAGCCTCTCAAATGAATACCATTTTGTGGTATATCCTCACCGCAAAATGAGGAATTGGCAAAGAACTGAAAAGAACTTTTAATCAGCGGTGGCTATGTTTGGCGAAAAGATGAAGTCAAATATACAAGCATTTATTTCGAGTTATCAAGTTTGGTCACACATCATTCTTAAAAATGAAGCGACTCAAATGTTTATTGAGTATCACGTTTCATTAAGTATCATATTACTTGATTCAACACCCACTGGCCTTAGTTCGAAATTTTCGGAATACAAAACGACAATACAAAACGAAATTTAATATGATTACACACCACTGTACTGACATTTTTGAAGACAAAGAAAAATTTTAGGCCAAATGCTATTGTTAGTATATTCAGATTTGATGATTTTGGAAAACACCAACAATTTCATCGAAACTCGGAATAAGATGGCGCCACCCCCCATTTTAATTTATCAAAATAAAAGTTCACTTTAAAACAGAGTCTTCAAACGGTGCTCCAGAAGTATGTGCTAACACAGGCAGTCGCCGAACTCGTAATAAAACTAAAAGAGGGAAAATTGGAATGAAATTATGGCTGCGGGAGTACCCGTCAAACTATGTGCCGCGACCGGTGTTCCCTCTAAAAAAATGTTAAACTGAGCAAATGTTTGTTTCATTAAGTATGAACATTTTAAGGCTGAGCAGAATGTTAAATGATTTACAAACAATGTGAAATATTACAACAGTAAATTATATTATCAGAATCAACCGCTCGGAAAACGTAATTTTGCAAGTGAGTGACAATGAGATTTTACCTCGCAGATGGTCTGGTGCAATGGTGCACTTGCGCACCTTAGAGGGCACCCTGGCTCCACCCCCTGTTGGATCGTGAATAGGCTCAATAGGTGTCAAGGCACAAGTTATTGTCAGAACTATCCGTACTAAGTCCTCCTTCTTTTGTTTCCACTTATATGTGTGAATTTTTTGTGTTAAACTAACTTGTGTTAAAACAAAATATCAATTAAATTCGAAAGACTTAGAAACAGTAAAGAGACCCACCATCGCCGAAATAGGGCCACGTTGCGATCATTTGTGCGATACGAATATGAAAGTAAATCTGTGTCAATAAAGTTTCTGGGGGCTGCAACAGAAATGGCCGTGTTTAGTGGGTCGTCATAAACAAAGTTTAAACAACGCCGATTAAGACCACTATCATTCGAAGAGAAAACAGACACGTATACCTCATACCAGACGTTTAGGACCGCGTGGGTTTGATTGCGAATATACGTGTATCAACAATGCGCGAGGCCCGATAGTCGTGATTGAATAATTTATAAACGAAAGTAAAGTATTTCGTTATTTCACTATCATTATTTATTATTGTACACAAAGTGAACCTAAACGGATCGTTTTTTGTTATGATCATCAGTTACGTCATGTTTGTGATTTTCTGACGTGTCCTAACTAAGTAGACAGCGCTTTGATTGGCTGCTTTGTAAACCCACGTGTGTGTGACGTATTTATGTTTAGGCCAATCACAACACAAGTCAATAGATCTATAAAAGCTGTTAGTTCTTGATTCATGCTGTTGCCATCTTAGTCATTGTGATTCGCTGTTAAACTGTTATCGTTCGATTGAGTTAAACTGATGTATCTTAGTTTGAATATACAAATAATACAAACGTATTATTACAGTTGTTGTTGTTATTCTTCTTGTTTCATACAAATCCTATATTATCTGATAAATACATTCATTATTCCGCTGAATTCTATTGTTCTTGGGAACGCGTTTTTCATTTCGTTAACAAGACGGCTGTTTCCGATTTGACGCGACACCACGCGAAAGTCGCAGATATTTGATACCGTTGCTTAAATTTTCTCATATATTATTAAAACAAATGACATGATCAGGTGTTTAACTACCGCGTGACTTCATTCGTACTGTTTGCAACATAGAACTGGCGTAGAAATATACTACTCGAAGCACAGTTTTTACAACAAACTCTGATTGGTATAACAAAATAAACAAAGATACCTTTGAATAATTTTTATTGTACACACGTAACACAAACGGACATGTTCAAAAATACTATTTACAAAAGTGGAAAATAAAAATTCAAGTTGGGTAAATTTTTTATATTACAAATTTTGAAAGTGAAATGAATTTATAGATTGTTGATGTCATATCAGATTCAATTTTTGGTTTTGTTTGCAACACCAATGCAAAATTAGAGAGAAGTACTTCTGATATTTCACAAGTTGTAATTGTAATATACAACATTTTATTTTAAAACTTATGAAAAATAGACTTAGCAAATGCCCAATGGCTTTAATTCAGCTGAAATTTAAAAGGTCAGAGCGGGATAAAACATTTCCATTTCTCATGAAACCGTAAAATCATGTGGTCTCTGAATAAAATTGCTTCTAGATAATTAAATTCAAGTTGAAACCTTCAACTTATTATGTAGTAATTATTTTTATATTCTTCAATTAAAAAACAATTTGCAAATGCGTTAATGTGGATAATACAAACGTCTACTAGTAAGTAATTTTATCAATTTTCGTCAAAGATAATGAAACAGTATTTTTTATGTATATAGTAATACTGAAACCACACGCTGCGTCATAAATTGTTTGAGTCCCTTCATTATGTATATTGGTATACCAATCCAAATATATTTTTATTATCGTATTTTGTGAGGAATTTGCGGAACTTATGACAACATCGCTTTATTGGCCGACATTTCCCAATTGTTTGGAACATTATTACTCGCTGTGGTCGCTTCTTCACTTTCGATATTGTGAGATTCCTTACTCTGAGCATCGTTATTTAAAAAAAACACTCCAACTGGTAATATTTCAGCGTCATGAGCTTTCTTGAATTGGTAACATTTGTACATACGATACAATTTGTAAACACCCAGACCAAAACCAAGTGACACAGCCCCACCAGCGGCTGCCATTAGTACCACACCACCACAGAAAATAATAGAGAATCCACCTGTTCCAATAATGAGAGAGGCATAAGCCAACCCCCCAATGCCCGCGCTTGCTACAATTTCAGTAAGGAAACCAACGCCGATCCGCTTCCATTTCTGATTTTGTTTCTCTTGATACCATTCTTCAAATTCCTCTTCAGCCGCTTCGTCGTCACCAATCTGCTCCAACAGTATATCTCGAAAGCTGTCCAGATCCAAGTAGAATGTTGTCTGAAATAATCAACGTTTATTCGTTTAATTCTAAGTTAAATGTTTTAGAACTAATAATTAAAACTTTTCATCATGAAAAAAAAAAATACACAAATTTCGATTGGCGTAGTGCTTAAGTTAAACAGAAGTGACGAACCTGCGGCCCGCGAAGCATTTAGGCGATTCAGTGTATGTTTGGATTGAAGTCATAGAAACTGTACAGAGAAAACGGGAGCGCCAGTATTAATAATATCACTGGCAACTCTATTTGCAATACATCAATTTTTGTTGGAACATCGATACCTTTAACAATGGATCAAAATGACCATTGTCTTAACATAGTTACGTTGTCTTATTAGCAAATGCATAAAGATTAATGGAGGTGGGGTAACTTTGTGAAAATGTAATGTTTTGGCTCACGATACATGGGATATTTGAAAGTAATAGAATGTTCACAGCATTATCTCAATGAATAAAAAATCGCCACAGCATGGATTTTTTTATAATTTCTTTTCTTCAATAATTTCGGATCTCTTGCCACCGCCACGAATGCAAAAAAAATAAAACCTTCGAAAAAGACCGTGTTTTAAAATAACAATTTAGTATTATCTAATTTGAATTAGGATTAGGAATGATTTGATAATTTGAATTTCCGGCGCAATCTGCATTCCCAGCACCGTAACTAAATTATTTCTATATTTTTGGTGCAGACGGTGGTTGTTTTTATGATAGGGGCCTTGTACAAAAGATTCCAAAATATTTTCCTAAGACAGGTAATTATAGGATAAAATACGTTTAAGGGTGCAGTCAGAATTACCAAACGGGAAGGATGAGGGTAAAGAACGAATTCGGGAATTCCCATGCAACTGTCGACGCAGGTCACTTGTGAAAAGAGCACACTTTTTCCATGAATTTTTTTTTTCTTTTATGTTAAGTAATTGATTCACAGCCGATACGAGCAATTTGAGTGCATTGTCATATTAATTTAATTGTGCTCTTGGTATCTCCATTTGAAGACATATGGTCTCAAGATATCGCTGTGAATACATTTGAAAGTCTCAGACTATACAATTTATTTTGGTAAAATTCCTATTTGATTGGACATACTTTACATTGATTAGCAGTCCGGATTCAAAAATACTTATTCATCGCCTCGAAATCCCCGCGGAACGACTTTTGGGGCAGTTGCCCCGATTTACACCACTCGATAAAAGAGCCGGCCTTTTTATCGGGTAATGATTTTCCAGTTGTGCAAAGTATTCAATTGACGACCAATACGAGTCCATTTATAATGCCTTGCTTTATCAATTTAATTGTGTGTTTTATTTAATGTAACCTGCGGTTGCGTAGATAAAATGCGAACTTCACTGTGAAATATCACGTCAATCCAAGGCCACAAGTAAACTTGTCAAACTGCCCCATTTTATCTAGTTTTAATTCGTATTTTTGCGATGTTACGAATTATACAAATTTGATCTGTTATTGCAATACCTCCGCTCTATCACAAAGATACCACCCAAGATTATTTTCAAGATATCAAAGTCAGACAAATCCATAAATATGCGATGAAAAATATCAAAGACTACAATTTATTTTAGTACTTAGCTTCCAAATCATCAGTTCGTCATCATATTGAGCGCTTGGTAAAGCAAAAAAGTTCCAAAAAATCTCTTAAGAAAAAGTGCATCGAATATTTGAATTTTCATTTTAGTCTGCAATATATCATTAAATAACTTCAGCTGTGTGGATGCAGTTTTTTGTTTTTGTTGATGAAAATTATCAGGTATCATAATATGACTAAACGGTTGTGCGCCGCCTACTCATCGGTGACGGATAAAATGGCCGCGATAGAAAATAGGTTCGTCACCCCTGTGCTAAATGAATACCTGTTCGAGCAGGGAATTTACTGATATAAATAGCTCTAAGAATTTATCCATGCCCCTGGCATTTCAAAATACAGCCGGTTTGAAGTTTGTTTCTTTTTTAAATCACGGTATTTGTTCTTTTCTCCAAATATTTCCGGTTAAATAAAGTCTTATAAATGAATTTATAAGTTAAGAATCTCGCGAAATAGAATAAACAAATACGGGTCTTATTGGTCAAATGAGAGTTGGTAAAATTTTTCTACAAAATAAGAGTACCGGTAATCATAGTATTAATTGTAAGAGTAGTATTTAGATATATCGGTTAAAAATAAAGTATATGTCGAAAACGTAGTTAAACGTGAGAACGTAATCTCTTACCTCGCCTCCAATTTCTCGATACGTATTCTCGAAATTCCGCTAAAAAAGTTTAGATCAATTTATTATTTGATATGTTGTACATCACACATTCTTTAACATACGAACACCCGGCCATATATGTTATTTATTACGGAGAAATTTCAAGATGATAGAGGAAGTCATTTACAGAAAACCTAATCTTTCAATTAAATTTCATTACAATTAAAAAATATCACGATTAAAAAACTAAAACTGCTGCTTACCTTCTAGAACATTTTACTACACGATAGGTTTATTTCGTAGTTAATATTTGTAGGCAGTTATGAAGTCTTAAAATTTCGTTAACATTGAATTTTAATTTTTCATATTCATGTGGAACCACAATTTACATAGATTAGGTTACCAATACAATATTTATCTCAAAATATTTAATGAGTTCTAGTCAACGGCCACATTGGAATATCTTTACCTTGTAAGCAGCCTGTTCAGTTTCCACCTCAATGAGATTTTCTTCGTTGTCTTTTGCGCGATTCTCCATGTCGTCTATTTGTTTCTCTCGTTCATCCTAAAATAATATAAAAATTGAATTGAATATTCAGAAATATTATATGCATTATTATATATTCCTAAAGTCAAAGAATAACAGGTCGCGATTCAAGGTATGATTAGTAAATTGAACCAGACTTCTCTGGCGACTTGGCTAGCTGATTGGCGTAGTGCTAAATGATACCCTTCTAAGCAGGGCACAATTTACCAATATGAAAGACAGACTGAAGCTCAGGTTCAATTCAAAATTCACTCGGTTTGAAACCTTCCAACGGTGATTTCATTTTTAAAACAGGTTATTTATTCTTGCTCCAAATATTCTCGATTAAATAAGCTTCAATAAATGAAAGCTACGATATTCCATGTGCTGGTATTCTTACCCCGATTCAGGAACTGGTAAAACAACGCATATGAATTTTGGACGTTTATTTTATGGGAAATGGTTGACTGCGGACTTGATCTGTTAATGCAGAAGTGATTCGGATCACGTGATATTTCAATTGACGTTGAAACTGAATTATGAGGAAACGATCATTGTCACAGAACCTGAAAAAGCTACGACAATCTCTGTACTTTCACGGTACCCCTTTACAGGTAACGGTGAAACATTTTAAATATTTGTGAACTGCTCGGCAACGATTGTAGTTATATCAATGGTGGCTGTACCTACTATACGCGATTTTAGTGTACATTTTTAATAAATTTTCGGCCATTGACTCATCTACGCGGGTAATGGTTTGGTAGTATCTTTGACCGCCATCTCGCTAAGTAGAATATACGCATACGAATTATGGGGTAATGGCTAACAGAACTTTTTTGCGTAGATGGCGAGAAAAAATAGACTAAAAGAAGGGTATATGAATTTTTTTTAAAAAGTAATCATATTATCGATTGTAATATTTGTAATTACATTACAATTGAGGAAGATTCTGGTTTAAAAAATAAAATTGCTGCTTAGTTTCAAAAATGTTTTTACTACATAGTAGTTTTATTTTCTAGTTAATATTTGTAGGCAGTCATAAAGTTTTGAATTCTCGAGAACATACATTTTACTTTTGTGATTTTCCATTTTTATTTAAAACCGCAATTTTCATGGATTAGGCAACCAATAAAATCTCTTTTCAAAATATTCAATGAGTTGTTAGATAACGGTGACTTTAAAATATATTTTACCTTGTAAGCAGCCTGTTCGATTTTTACTCTGTTGAGCTCTACTTGGGTCTCTTTCAAACGTTTCTTTGTGTCGTCATTTTCTCTCTTGAGTTCATTCTAAAATAATTTAAAAAATTTAATTGAATATTCAGAAATGCCCGTATGCATTATAGATGCATACAGCCAAGATTTGCACCGACTTAAGATAAAATAAAAGTGATACTAATCTAGAATACTACCACAATTTGCGGACAGAAAATACGCCAGATACGGGCATATTCAATATTTCTTACTTTATTAATTTCATTGTGTTCAACATAACCTATACTGTTGCGTCGACTAAAATTTAAAAGCTTTAATACTCCAAAATGCCCAAGCCCTTAAAATGTTTGGCAATATGTCCGATTCTATATTATGCCCCTGCCACACTGACAGCAACTATAGCGACAGCGATTATACAATCATAAGATTACAAAAAAAAGTTGAAAACTGGAAAACCGCAAAATGTCATGGTTTATTTTTTACATGGGTATTTAAACAAACAAATAACAAATATTAAGCGGACTTAGTTTTCCTTATTGACACATATATGTTTTATATAAGACAAACCATCTCCCTAAAAAAAATCGTAAGATTGATATTCTTTAAATTCTCTAGAATTATATCTAAAAATTCAATTCACCAACTCTTTATCCTGTTTTTCCAATCTCTGCCACATCAAATTCATCATTTCATTCCGTTCATCTCTCCCACAATCGCTGATTGCGGGTAGATTCATCGAAGTTTTCTATGAAAAAACAAATAAATATGTAACTAATTCAAATGACGTTACGCTCACATGACTAATGTCTTGCACATGCACAAACTTGATATTGAAAATGCACAACTTTACTTTTGAAATATGAACACTCGAAAAAATTACTAAATACATTGAATAGAAGTTGTAGTATTCATATACTAATGTTAAATTCAAATTATTTTAAATATCGAGTCAATTTAAATAAAAAGCACTACCTCGTCATTTCCATCTTTTGCCTGACCTGACATAAGGTTATTCTCATATATGTATTCGCAATTTAATTAATTAACTGGTCATTGATTATAATTTCTTATAATAATTAATAATAATAATTTCTTATAATTATAAAACGAAATAAAAGAAATATACACAAGCAAAGTAAGTGGCACTTAAATATTATTTTCGATTAAATATTTAAGTACACATTTTATGACTACAAATGCCTTTATTGAAATTTTAGCAGTTTTACATTGCATTATTCCTTTCAGCATAAAACATGTCATAACTTTTTTAGATCGGCAAGAGAGACATGTTGTACATTTGATCACTGATTCATCCAGCGTAGGGCTCATATATCTTTCATTGAATTTTAATCGCGAAATTTAATCAGTCTCTATGTATTTAAAATATTTGAACTAACTGACATTTTACTCGCTTTTTAAATACATAATTTGCAGACTTCCAAAAACTTTCGAATGAACCACACGACAACTTGAAAATTTAAATGACTTTTCCATTCTCCAACATATTGAAATCGGAAATGAATACAAAATAATTGGTCATGTAATATATCCTCACCGCAAAATGAGGAATCAACAAAGAACTGAAAAGCTACTGTCTTTCAATCAGCGGTGGCAAAGTTTGGCAAATAGATAAAGTCAAATTTACAAGCATGTTTTTAACCTATCAAGTTTGTTCACCATCAATCTGAATAATGAATTGCCTCAAATGTTTTTGTGTAACACGATTCATTAAATATCACCCCTGGCCCATGTCTTTTGTTCGAAATATTTCGTAAATCTTGAAGCATAAATGGTTCATTGAAAACAATATGTAATGTGATCACGAATCATTGTAATGACATTTTCGCATACAAAGGAAAATTTATTTATGTCTCAAAACTATTGTTATATTATATTCAGAATTGATGATTTTGGAAAACACTCACAGTTGCATATAACTCGGAATACATGAGCGTAATATGTCATTTCTATTTATCGGAATAAAAGTCCACTTCGGAACATGGCTTCAGAACATTCCGCCGCAGCTGCCTGTTCTAAAATTGAACGTATGGACGACAACGGACAGAGATATATAAAATAAATAAATAATTTGAACATAATCAAATCATTGTCGTTATTTATTCATAAATTTATGGCGTTAAAAACTGACGTATTTTTCAAGAGAATTTCCGTATCTTGTCGGCCCACATGTTTTTTCTCTTATTTTCTGTTTTGATTGGGTTAGGGTTAGGGTTAGGGCTATAATTGCTTTAATTGGTTCCGCGGGGTGTGAACGGGACTCAAATTTGTCTTGTACCAAATTTGTTCTGCTTTCAATATAGTCGGCTGTGTGTCTACTTGCTTTTTTTAAAGTCTGCTAACGAACCCACATAGTTTCTTTGATAGTTATGAAGGTATACTTTGAACAAGGCCCTATAATCATGGGAGCAGTCAGAAAAGGGGGGTTCTGAAATTTGTACTTGTCAAGTAAGACCGTAACAGCCAGCGGAGCTGCCTATAAAACGTGGGTTCTCAAGTACTAATGAGTCTAAAAAGCTTTCCAATATACGAAATGTACGCAGAATGTTGCATGTACGCAGAATTTTATTTCACATTTTGAAAAGGAGTTGGTACTGCCCTCTAAAACCAAAACCTCGCCTTTGAGTACAAGTGCGGTTTTAAGCACCTTGCCGCAAAACCTTGTCGGGATTTCCAAACCATGGCCGCTATAGTCAAGTCATGGTGGCTGACTTTTTAGCTGCCACAAACAAATGGAGTGGGCGGGGTACCACAGCAGCAAATTGCAAACCATGGTGGGTAAAATTGTGCTGCCACAAACCAAGGCATGTAAGTTGTGATGTCAGGACTGATGGTGACACACTTTTGGTAAGTTAGATCATTTTCCTCAAGGGTACAGTTTTGATTGATTTGACGTTAGGTTTGAGGTTTAAATGTTTTCATACGTCATACACGTTGTAGAAATATTCTGATGTCTACACCATTTATAAATTTGAAGTTGTTTTCTGAATCCCAAAACTAGTAACCGAAAAAAAATGCAGAATAGGGAAACTATGTTCTAGAGTGCATAATTGTCTGAAAACTGAATTTAAATATCTAGTTTTATAGGAGCTACTACGACCATATTTCTGTTGAAGTTAGATTAACACTACGGCGGCCAAGGGAATTCGATTGCATTATTTGCGATTAACTGGCCTATAAGTGCGATTACTTTTTCATTTTCACGTCAATGCGTTTACGAATGTAAATTCAGAGTTTTAAAGAACGCGCAGTACACCCGGCCCCATATAGAACGCGCAAATTTATACAGTTCGTTCGACATTCGTTTGGCTCTTATCCAATATATAAATGCCAAGACTGATGACCTCGATATCCTCGAGTCAGCGCAGGAGCACTCACTTGTTACCCGTAAATAAATTGCACGGACGCACATTTACTTTAAGCCTAATGGATATATATCTACTAGTATAACACGACACAAATAGATATAAAGGAAACTTTACTGTTAAGATAGTCAAATTGATTACGCAAAATATAAATATATAAGCCATTTTCTAAAAGTAATAAAAAATTTGAGACAAAATGCTAATGATCTTTTATTTTAACAATCTTTGGTGGTTCTTTGGTGGTTCCAAGCTTTCCACACATCATATCGCGCGCAAAATTAGTTCAATGATCAGTTTCAGATCAGATCAATCACAACGAATTGATTCCCTGGGTCTGGCTAATGTAAAATGTATTGTATTAGTCAAGACAATTTATTTATATATACGACTTTTTGCTACTTCTCACACCAGGCAAGACCATGTAT